GACAGTGCAAGAGACACACAGAGACAGGCTGCTGAAGCTTCTCCCCTGCCCACTCCCATCAGGACACAATCGCAAGAATGCTGCATCTGGAAAAGGAGCTACAACTTGTATCGTGGAAGACGAAGGGTGCTGGAGTGTACCCGGGAGAGGCAGAAGGTTGTCATGGAGATCGGGCCACCGCTGACCTTTCATTTAAATTCCGACAAATTGCGTTAAATCTATGCACTGGCTTATAGAGACATACAGCATGGAAACAGGCCCTTTGGACCAACTCTCCCGTGCAGAGACATCCCAATCCGACCTGCTCCCATTCGCCAGCATTTGGTCCAAATCCCTCTAAACCCTTCCTATTCATGTACCCATCCAGATGCCTTTTAAGGCATCCAGGATCCTTCCTTTGGCACCTTGTTCCATACGCGCATCACCCTCTGCGTTTAAAAAGAAGTTGCCCCTCAGGTCCCCTTTCCCCCAGCCTCGCCTTAAACCTATTCCCTGGGGTAGAGGAATCCAAAAACTAGAGGGGCAAAGACCTTGGCTATTCTCATGCCCCTCACGATTTTATAAAGTTGCCCCCCTCAGCCTCCGACGCTCCAGGGGGGGAAAAAGCCCAGGCCTATCTAGCCTCTCCCAAATCCTCCAGTCCTGGCGATATCCCTGTCAATCTTGTCCGCACTCTCTCAATGGAAGAGGACCCTGCCTATCCATTCTGCTCGTGAACGCAGGAAGCCGCATTTGATCTCCCGTCAGCCTCCTCCTCTGAAGTCTGGCTCATCCAAGTCCTCCTCACTGCAAACCCTTGTCTTGCCTCAGCACTTCGCTGCCTGTTATGGACCAGACCAGACACCCCACCCCTCTCAAGGTGACAGCCTAGCACCTAGCTTTAGCTTATTTTAAAACACAAAAAACAAAGGTCCACGTTCCAGATGCAACGCGACTGGTCAGAACCACTTGACGTTAAGCAAAACAGAATTTATTCAGTGGTTAAAGTACAACAGAAGCAATTTGGGAATTTAGAGCAACTGAACTCTATCGGAAAACCTAACTGAGTAATAGATACAGTAACTATTCCTAATTAACCGCTCCAGCATAGTAACATCCATGAACACAGCCCTTGGCAAAAAGGCAAATTCAGAAAAACAGATTTATCTCACAGGTATCCCAGCAGCAGAGAGAGAAACTCCCAGCTTCCAGCTTGTAAATGAGAGGGGGGGAAAATAAAGAATCATAGAACCCCTACAGTGTGGAAACAGGCCCTTTGGCCCAAAAAGTCCACAGCAAACTTCACAGCATCCCACCCAGACCTGTTCCCCCTATAACCCACCTAATCTACACATCCCTAAACACTATAGGCAATTTAGCATGGCCAATCCACCTAGCCAGCACATCTTTAGACTGTGGGCAGAAACTGGAACACCCAGAGGAAACCCATGCTGACACAGGGAGAATGTGCAAACTCCACACAGACAGTCGCCCAAGGGTAGAATCGAACCTGGGTCCCTGGCACTGTGAGGCAGCAGTGCTAGCCATTGAGCCACCGTGACACCCCTATAATAAAGCTTGATAAAGCTTCTACTTATAGTCACGGAGCATGGAAACAGACCCTTCAGTACAAGCACTGCACGGTGAACAAATCCCAAACTAAACCAGTCCCGCCTGCCCGCTCCTGGCCCATTACCCTCCAAACCTTTCCCATTCATGTACTTTTCCAAATGTCTTCTAAACGTCGTAACTGTACCCGCTTCCTCAGGAAGTTCATTCCACATGCAAACTACTCTCTGTGTAAACAATTTGCACACCCCCACCCATGTCTTTTATAAATCTCTGTCGTCTCGCCTTAAAAATGTACCCCTCTAGTCTTGAAATGCCCCATCTGAGGGAAAAGACACCTACCATTAACCCTATCTATACCCCACACAATTTTATAAACTTCTATCAGGTCACCTCTCAACCTCCTACGCTCCAGTGAAAAGAAGTCCCAGCCTTTCCTTATAACTCAAACCTTCTATACCCAGCAACATCCTGGTAAATCTCTTCTGACCCGCTCCAGCTTTGATAATATCCTTCCCATAACTGGGCGACCAGAACCAGACACAATATTCTAGAAGAGGCCTCATCACTGTCCTGTACAACCTCAACATAATATCCCAACTCCTATACTCGATACTTCTTCAGGCCCAAACATCGACTGCTGGAAGCTAAATCTAAAAATGAATAAAAAAACCTACAAATTCTGATCTGAGAGAGCTGGCCACACCCAGCCAGGCTGCTTCTATTGTTCCAACTTTTAAAAAAAAAGCTGTTTACTCTAGCGGTTTTCGTAGACCGCTTAGCACCTCTGCCTTACAAACTCTCTTCCAAAAATAAAAAACCCAGGACAAAATAACCTCAAAACCACGGCATTATCACATGCCTTCCCCCTTCCATTCGAGCTCTTCACCTCCCCTCCCCGATCCCCCTCTTCCTTCATGGGGTGAAGCATAGAAAGATAGAAGATAGGAGCAGGAGGCGGCCATTCGGCCCTTCAAGCCTGCTCCGATATTCTTTACGATCATGGCTGATCATCCAACCCAATAGCCTAATCCTGCTTTCTCCCCATAATCTTCGATCCCATTCGCACCCCAAGCGCTATATCTAGTTGCCTCTTGAATATATTCGATGTTTTGGCATCAACTACATAGTGGGCCCTCCCCTTGGCAACCAGCTCCCCTTGGTAGTTTTTACATAGTGCACGCTGGTGGATGGAGGAGAGTTAGAGCAAGGTATGGGTGGTGGTGGGAAGGTGCGAGTGGACAGTGCATGGGCCAAGGGAACAGAACGAGGGTGGCAAAAAGGGCTACGCGTTGCCCCTCACCTGCTGGGCTCGAAGACCTTGTACCAGTTCGGTGGCAGCTTCTCCAGGCGCGTCGCTTCATAATCAACGTTATCGTCATCGTAATCCTCAGCAATGATCTCCTCATCAGGCTCTGTTGTGGGGTTGGGAGTGGAGTGGT